GCTGTTGCAACCAATTAAAAATGCTATGTCATATTTTACCATCTATAATTGCTATAATTATCAATAATTTGCTACAGCAGCCAATCTTTTCTTTCAGTGTGCGGTTCCTTATAAAAATAAAAAAGAATTCCGCATTTTTTATACTAAAAAATCAAAATTGAAAAAATTGCAGCCGGAACTTTGTTTAAAAATAATTGTAGAGTATAGATCTCTGCTAGTACTAACAAGAAATATCGCTAGAATTGCGATAAATTATCAACATAACACTTTTTCTTCAAGTTCTGTCTTTTATATATTATGGAAGATCACCTCATTGGACTTGTAATACTCCCAAATAGGCTATCAATACTACTTATCTCAATTTCTCTCTTTTTACATCGTATGCAACAAGTAAAAGAAACATTAAGTCAATTATAACACTAACATACACAAAAATTGTTTATATCTTAGAAAACGATTAAATATTCAATCTATGTTCAATCACTAAGGCTTTTTTACTCAATATGTGGTGTGTACTATCTACCATATAAATGCTAAATGGTTTTTTAACACCCTATGTATATACTATATATATATATGTATATATATATAAAACTTGAAATTAATTTTAGAATTGAATTAGCATCTAGATTGAAGTAGCATACGATATATGATACGCTATATACTATCTCTGTATATGCCGATGACATTAGTAACAACTTAATTCTAAACAATGGATGATTAATAGTTCGCTGCCCACGAGGGAAATACATGAGTTACGTCATTGTTCGTTGTGTATTGTCAAGTATAGTGAATACCGATGATACCGCAGTTAAAGCACGTAAGCAGTTGGGTTTTCCTAACCAACACCAAATTTTGTTTCGCTGAGCTGCACCGTAATAGGTGAATCATTAAAAATACTCGAGATGTTTATTTATCATTCATTATGCGTAATATTGACTTCTGTCACCATTCATTTGATTTTTACTTATTCATTTCACGGCATCTATCGAATCATTGCTTTCCTGCATCATGTATCTTTCTTAGCATCAAATTACTAATTAAATTACTAATTAAGAAATTTCTTGTAAATAAATTTTTCTATTTTTTTATTTAATTTTTATTAAAAATAATTGTCCTTACGTACAATTCACACACTATTAAATCTATACTGTCAAATTTAATTTAACGTGAGTCGCCACTGCTCCTATTCAATCATATCATTATTTTAGACTAAAATAATGGTTATAGTTAACTCTGTACAGTGTCAATTTGACATTATATAGTGTCAAATTGACACGATACGGTATCAAATTTAAACTATTGTTTTGATAAAAAATAACGATATATTTAGTAGTAGCGACTCACGTTAGGTTAAATTTGACACTATAGATTTAACAGTATAGTATAAACGTATGCTGTTAACATTTTTTAAATGTTTGTATGCCTAATTTACGGTAAAATGTAAAAAAAATTAATAACATGTTTACCTTGGCTACATCATGGGGATTCCCCAATAGTTGAAATGCATGACAAATCTCTCATGGACCAGTTAATATGAAATTGCAACTTCAAGATTTAGAAAGTTATAAGCCGAACATAAATTCACTCAGGAGTCAAGTAGCTTCATCATTCGTCATTATGATGACGCAGATGGAAATAACGAAATACTATCGCAAAGACGAGATTGGGTGCTCATCATGTATACGAATATCTGCTTATGATTAACGACGAGGCCAACATATTATCGTCATAGATAATTGTTTATTTTCCGATCACTTGCGAGTATACTTGGAACAAAATCGAGCTCTATTTGATTATTCAACTAATTCTGAGTAATACTGTTTTTAATTCACAATCAATGGATTCCCCTTTTCTAAAACAGGGAAATTTGGAATTAATTATGTAAGAGAGTTACGTATATTATATTTGATAACAATTTAGCGCATTAAAAAATTCTCACATTATCTTATATTGTTTTGTTTACTTTTCTTTCTCAGAAATTACTAGAGTTTCTTTATAAGTAATAATATTTTTTTATATTGTGTATTTTAAACTTCACTTTATTAACATGTATATTACAAAAACTTGATTCATAAATACAGACAAGTATAACTAAACATTATTAAAAAAAGATATACTTCTTTCTCTTAATTTTCATAAAATTGGCATAAATGATTTCAGTTTTCAATGATAAAGTTAGTTAAAACAAAATATATATATAACGGTATATTTTGTTACTGATTGAAAGTCATGGCTTTATAAGTTTTACGATTTTTGAAAGATACGCAAAGATTTTTATAAGTAGTTGTTAATTCATCGATGACCAGTCATTGAACCTGACCTTGAAGAACCGGAACGATACAGGTTTCGCAAGAAACTTAAAGATAGAATCTACAAAATAGCTTCGTATATATGATTAGTCAAATCGACGACTGCGTGGTGTCGACTGATCGACCAAACATCATTAGTTTGCAATAAAACTGGTATCTAATAAATATAAGCAATATGACTTAATAATTTTATGAAAATTTTGATAAAATATTTGTAAAACCCTTTTAAAAAAACCTTTTTGCAAGATTCTAATGTAATAAAAAAATAATACTGTTAAAAACAATAGCATACCAGTTTAAACATGACATAAGCTCAAACATTTAATTTGAACTTTAACAGATTAAATATTTTACAGGAAGGCTTGATTAAATATTATATTTGAATTATATGTGTAAAGCATACGATATAACTATATAAGATATATTGAATTTGAAGAAATTTGAACAGAATTTATCTTTCTTTTTCGTCTTAGTATTTTACACTCTTATTTCCTTGACCTGATATAAATTCTCATCGCCGAAGCCATTCAGATTTGTACGTCAGAGCGAAGGAGAGTGTGTTTCGAGGACTGCAATTTTTATTTCCCTTATTTCAAAATATCAGTTCGTTACTGCCACATATTCATTGGTTTTCCCCTGCTTATTAATCGACTTTTCATATTCTTATAGCTTCGTTTCTTGTATTGTTATTCTAATAATAATTATTAAATTTGATTTTTTATGAACGTTCAGCGAATAATATAAGATATAAAAAAGATATTAATATTAATTGTTAATATTATCAATTCTATCGCCTTTACTCGATTATGGCTACATTGCATGTATATAATTTGCAATCTTTTTTTAGATGCATGGATGGACATAGACATGTTTCTACGTATAGATATTGGTTGCAATCATTTATGCTAATTTTGTAGAAAGATAGAGAAAAAAACAATAATTTTTTATTTATTGCGTTTGATTGTCGCTTGTCCGTATTTATGAGCCAAATTTTTTCTGAATTCTTTTTTTGCTGCATTCTCGAAATATTTTTTTTAGAAGAATCAACGTATAAATAAATAATAATTTGCAAAAGACATATCGGATTTAAACAATGTATTATATTTAAGATGTATTTAAATTAAAATCATATTTTATAAACTTTGGCATGGTGTAATTATATAAGCGCAGCTTATATTAATTTTCTCTTGCATATTTAACAAAATAATTGAAATATCTTTATAAAAAATTGCTATAGAAAAGTGAATGTGTTTTACTTGATTTCATATGAATACATATTGTTTAAAATAAAAAACAATAAAATAAAAAAATATCTTTAATTATTTATCTTTGAATATTGATTACCGTAGTCATCGATATAAAAAGGAGACAGAATTCAATGAAAACCATGCACGTGCATGCGAGATGTCATTTTAACTGGTTAAATTGCAAATGACTTTGCCACGTCGCTAAGGCTATTTGGGAATTAATATTTTTCTTGTATTAAATTTATTATGCTTATGTAAGAGCCAAGAACCAAGAATAAAAAATCTTTATTCTGTCAGAAATAAAACATATAACTTTTAAGTGGATTATAAAAAAAATTATCTTTAAAATTATCTATAAAATAAATTTAATAGCTTGTTCTATTATATTGCTTCTCTCGATATTGCTTCCTTTCCTGCTTCCTATTCTCTTTCTTCTTCTTCTTTTCTATATTTTTTCGAAAGTTTTATTCATACATTTATAGTTTTTTTTTATTAAAATTAACATAAAATCACAAAAACCTCTTATTAGATTGTTTCATTTTTGAGTAGATAGAAAGGAATAATTCAGGATTGAAAATGTGTTAAATACTTCGTCGAAATAAGCGGTCCTTGATAACCCATTCTGTGAGTGACAATACAACAGCAAAATTTTTGTCATTTAATCAGTTTTTACCAATTATTCCCAAAATTACAGATATTTAATATAAAGATTATATCTAACTCTAAAATTGCATTAATTTCTAATGTAAAAGTATAAGACTCCCAAAACGTAATGTTTCTTGAGATCGGTGTCGATTTCATGGAAATGAAAAATTATAGAAAATCCTAAACGGAGGCACTCGATAATACTCGTAATAGGAGAGAAAGAGAGGGTCAATTATTATCCGACGTAAAATCCACGCTTGTGTCGTATATAAGATGTTGTCCTCGTGCGAGAGCTTCAGTCGCTCTTGACTCTCTGACCATCGAGATATCGGCGAAACAGACAAAACAAGGAGGATTACTGTGTGTGATAGGCAAATTATTTATTTGCGAAAGTGAAAACCGTCATGAAATTATTTAGGTGTTTAGTGCCAGTAGTGGTGCTGCTATTGATTAAGAACTCCTCTGCGAGACCTGGTGAGTTTCAAATTATAGGGAAGTTTTTTCCCTTTCATTTACGACTAATTAAAAGGAATATTATTGCCAGATTGGTTTCCAGATATTTATGTAATGATGACATAATATCTAATTTGAGAGAATTATGTTACCAAAATGATTTCTACTTCTTTAATAAAATTAAAAAAATAAATTAACTATTAATTTTTTCCTATAAACTTAAATATTGTTAACCTTATGAGATATCTAATAAATTTATGAAAGAATTAATAGATGAAAGAGAAGAAATTACGAAGCATACAAAAAAGCCGTAAATAACGTTATCATTCAGTACTTTCAATAACCTTATAATATTTATTTGTGAAGGTGTGTTAGGCGATTTGATTGGTGCGAACGTTGGTAGATTGCTGGATCCATTGGGAGTATTCAGGCCTAAAGATGGCAGTGCTCAAGCTAGCAGCAATGCTCAGGCATTGGGAGGAAACGTAAATTTCGGGCCCATCGGTATCGGTGGTGGATACTCCTCAGCTTCGGCTCAGGCGTCGGCGAACAGCGGCGGTGGCTTAGCTTCGGCTTCAGCCAAAGCTGATGCTCATGCTAACGGATATGGAGGATATGGTGGTTCGAACGCGAATGCGCAAGCATCCGCTAATGCTAATGCACAAGGTAGGCTCGCGTACCTGGTGTACATAAAACATATTTCTATAGTTTTAAACTTCTTTTAAAACATGAGATAAATAAAATATTATGACGATTAAAGTAACTCAAATAATAACCAAAGTTTACGGAAAATTCTAAAATGTTGAATGTTGTGAAACATTGTGAACATTTTCGAATACTTTGAAACATATGTCTCCAATATTTTAATCACATTAAAACATTTTTATTTAAGTATACAATTTTATCATAATATCTTTAAAATATTATTCAAATATCCCGTGCTTTTATATCTTGGAGATGTTATGACTTTTTAATATTTTTCTGCAAGATATCTTGACAAAATAACAAATTCCATTTTTAACTATCTGTCCGCAGACATTAGTTTAGAACTCCGTTTATCTAGATATGTGAAGGGACAAGATAGTTTCGATAACTGAATGATTTACATATAATAGTGGTTCACTAACTTTCAAGTTCTTATTATTCGAATGTTGCGAATAGCTAAGCTATGAGTTGGGATATTTAAAACTGAGCACAAATTTGTTCGTTAAATGGATGAACGAAGTTCTACTATATTTTATTATCTTTTAAGAATAAATTTCCTTATTTAGATTTATGTTTAAATTTTTATCTTTATTATTATCCCTTTTTGTATTATCATTAACACGTTAATGACGTGTTTTTAACATAGGTTCTTCAGGAAACCCTGGGGGGTATGTTGGCAATAATGGTGGAATCAGCGGTTATTACCCTGGCGTTTCTCATCAAGTTACTCAACCGAATTACGGAAGTTATGGTGGCTCTCAGTCCAGTGCTAATGCTAATGCGAACGCGAATGCCAACGCCAATGGCGGAGGGTATTCTGTTGGTCCCTCTTATTATCCTTCTAGACCCCAAGCCATCGGCAACGCTAACACTAATGCTAACGCAAATGCGAACGCGGGTGCTAACGTCTTAGGTAGTGGCGGCGTGAATGTGATTCCCGATAAGTATCCTGGCGGAGGAATAGATAAAATAGAAGTTATTCCCATAAACATGCTGCCGCTTTCTCAACCAACTTTACCTGTCTATTCGATACCTCACCAGCCGCCTGGAGCTGGTAAGGGAAATGTGATTGTCGTTGTCGAGGAATCCCCGCAATATCCGCCGTATCATCGTCCGACTCCTCCCCATCGCCACCATCACCACCGTCAACCGCATTATGGTGGTAAACCAAAACAGCAACCCATCGAGGTCATCATCATTGAGGAACCAAGGCCTAATCCAGGTGACACTTCATGATCGAGCACATTTGAAAGTCATCGTGCAATTATCGTCTCGTTGAGATTCTAATGCACTAACTGGTGTGGCAGCTCTATGAATTTTCTGCACTATTTTTTTAATGTAATTTTTCATGAAAGTAATGTCATAATTAATCGTCTCGCTATTACTCTCTCCATGTACTACTCTCTATATATATCTTATCATACATGTTACAATGTTTTAATAATTAACTCGTGACACATTGTTGGAATTGGATAACAATTGACCACAAAATACTGTGAATCATCTGTTTCTTTGTATACAGCTCATTTATGTGATTAATGTGCACCTCATTCCATGTACTTCTCGCTTCGTCAATTGAAGCATCCTGCACAGATTTTACATCAGACGGAAGTCACATTCAAGGATATGTAAACTAAGAATGAAGACATTTTTCTTTCATTTGTGTTATAGTCGAGGTGAAGGTTGAAAATCACAGTACATTCTTTAACAGAACATTCCTGTAACGATGACAAGAAACAAGGACGCTGCTGATAATGCATTTTCCTTGTTTTCCTCATCATGACAAGCACTCTAAATGGAAAAGACACGAAACTAAGAATCTGACGTAAATTATGCGTGACTGAGACTGAGAGCATGAACTTCGTTACTTTCGTCATGTGATAATTTAGTTTTAGTATTTGTAACGACATGTTTTTATATATGTTACATCATATATACGTAATGTTATTAGTTAAATAAATACGATAAAGAAACTAATTTTTAAAAATATTTCTTTACAGTTATTGGCGGAAATAATGGCGTTCAAGGAACCTATCCTGGATATAAAGAAAATCCGTTTTTATCTAATGGCGCTGGATCAAATACTAATGCTAATGCCCATGCTAATGCTAACGCTCAAGCAGGTGCGAGTGCAAACGGCGGAGGTGGACACAATTATCAACAAGGTGGATATCAGCAAGGTGGATATCAGCAAGGTGAATATCAGCAAGGTGGATATCATCAAGGTGAATATCAACAAGGCGGACATCAAAGCGGATATCAATCAGCAGGATATCAACAAGGCGGACATCAACCAGGAAGATATCAACAAGGCGGACATCAACAAGGTGGCAGTTACCCAGTAGAATCATCAGGACACAAAAATCCAATTGGCAGTAATAATCCCTTTCTATATCCCAGCGGTCATTCCAGTAGCAACGCCGGTGCCAATGCTAACGCAAATGCTGGAGCTGGTGCCATCGCCGGAGAACAACCGATAGGTACTAATAATCCGTTCCTTAATGGTGGCGTATCCCAAAATGTCGGAGGAGGAGGAAACTATCCAGGAAGTTCGAGCGTTTTGAGCGACAAACCTAAAGGCATTTCTACCACCTATCCGGGACAATCATCCGGAGGACTCCCTGGCTCATTCGGATCGGCGGGAGCTAATGCTGGTACCAACGCCAATGCCAATGCCGGCGCTGTTGGAGGAGGACCGATCAAAGAAAGTCCAATAATTAGCTCTGGCGGACACGGTGGCGGATCTTCGGGAGTTCTTGGTGGTTACGAAGATCACGGATCTAGTCCAAACTTCAACGGATTTGGAGGACAAGTCGGTAGTTCATCTGGTGCTAACGCTAATGCTAATGCTAACACCGGAGTCACTAACACTGGAGGATCTGGTGGACATGGACCCATTTTTGGAGGATCCGGAGGTCACGGAGGATACGGTGGGGGCTCTTTCGGTGGTCAAGGCAGTGGATTTGGAAACGATGGTGCAAATATTCACAGTGGACATGCTGGAGGCTCTTCCGGAGCCAATGCTAACGCCAACGCTAATGCCAATGCCAATGCCGGAGCCGCCGGCGGTCATGGAACTATTCTTGGAGGATCTGGAGGTCACGGAGGATTCGGCGAAGGCTCACTCAATGGCCACGGTAGCGGTGGATGTGCACAATGTGGCTCTTCCGGTCTGAACCTCGGTGGCTATGGCGGTGGTTCTTCTGGTGCTAATGCCAATAGTAACGCCAATGCTAACGCTGGAAGTTCCGGTGGTGTCCCTGGTGGATACGGAAACGGTGTTAAAGGAACAGGACATACCGGAGGACATGGTGGTCAAAGCGGATTCGATAATCAAGGCGGATTCGGCGGATCAGTCGGAGGAGGTATATATGTGTTTTACATATAAATCTGTGTTGCGTGTAGTATCCTGTATAATAAACTAAATAAACAATTTTTTTTTTAATTAACCGTATCCTAAAATTCGGAAAATTAACTATATAAACACGTAATTTTTTTAATTGCTTGCTAACGTAGTTACTATTTATTAGAAATAAGCACAACTTCCTTTAATTATTATCGTCATTATGTAATGCTTGTTGACGTTTATCTTTGACACGTAACATCTTATTACATGTATGTAAATATTCATCAAATAATCATCGAACAAACGACGCCTCTATCCTAACAATTTCTAACGCATAATTTATCTTGTGTGTTACATAAGAGATGAAAAATTATTCAGCCTTATATCATTATTATTAATGACGAGAGCTTACAAAAATCAATCCTTCGGAAGTGTTAATACAAATCAAAGTATCTAAATCACATTGTCACGCATGTTCCTTATAACACTTTCGTTCATGGATTACGAAAACGCCATTGGGTGGAAAAATGATAAAAGACTCATCCTGCACTCCGATGGATAACCCAGTCGAAAGCTCTACATCATAAATATTTGTATATCCATCGGAGATTCACCGATCATAACAGAGCTTTTCCTATTCATTTTTCCACAGACCTAAGCCCCGAGGCCAAGGCATCAGCGTTGTCCATGGCGGAGGCTGTGGCGTCAGGACAGATCATAATTAAATGATTCGCTATCCCGCAGGCTCAAACGCCAACGCACAGGCGTCTTCTAATGCAATTGCGTCCGGTGGTGGATCGGCATCAGCAAACAGCAAATCGTCGGCCTTCACTAACGGATCAGGATCCGCAAAAGCCGACGCGTCCAGCAATGCGTCTTCAGGATCTTACGGTGAAATAGGATCGAAAAGTTCAGCGTCAAGCCAAGCATCAGCTTCAACCGATACCAGGGATATGCTGATCTTTAATTAAACATTGTGATATAACGAAACTAACCGACAAGGAGACTCGGAAAGAATCTTCTTGGCCATAATAGCGATATAATACTCCAATTTATATTTTGACGTTCCACGAACAAACTTACTTACGCGGTACGAATATTATATTGTTTAATTTTGCGATGAGAATTAAAGATTAATTATTGAAAAATTAGAAGTATGCATATCATAAAACTGTCTATTAATAAATACGTTTAAATTTATAATCACGAGTTATAAATTTGAATGTATTTTTGGAAATTGTGATTGTAAATTCGAGATTTCCTTGATGTCTCTCTCTCTCTCGAAAATAAGTTCAATTTTAAAAATAGATAAACAGTCTTGAGCATTTATTAGAAAACATGTAAGAGCAAGTATTTATTTATATTCGTATTGCGAATCGTGTTGGAGGCAGATCGAATATTGTTTCGCTCGATGCAATGAAATGTGTAAGATGAATAAATTACAACATCAGAACTTAAGACAAAAGGTTCTTTGGCTAATCATAGAAATATAATTTATAGAACCCGTTTTCAGTTGATTAATGACATATCTGCCTCAGACTAAATCATTTTTATACTCATCCGAGACATTCTGTGATCAGAATGGTTTTAATATATACATATATGTATATATATGTACAATATATTTAGACACTTAAAATAAAAGATCTTAATTTAATACTCTTTTTATATTTATAAGCGTACTTAAATTATATATAATTAGCTGCGTGTAGATCGCCTCCTTTGAACTTTGGATCTGTGATTTACATGACATGCCAATGAAATATCTAATAATAAAGATATTATAAAAGTCCTATTGTAAATGTGATTAAATAAATTTAAAGATGCCGATTAAAATAACCCGATGTGTTAATAGATTTTAACTTATCTACTTATTTCTTATTTTTTTCTTTTATATATATACCTTTTTATATAATATTGATTAAAACAAAAAAAATCTGTCTTATGTTAATTAAAAGTTAAAACCACTTCAGATTTCGAAGGATAAATGCGATCTCAACTATGCCATTCATAAGAGTAATACTCGACGATCAAATTAATTGTGACTGCTTACGTCCCCGTATATTTTTATAAAATCAGGGAATAACAGCGTTCACGATTGGCACCAGCAACATCTCTCTTTGTCTTTATTCTCACGATGGCAGGCATCTCTGGAGTGTCGGAAACAACGGGGATAAAAACTCGTCGGACTTGTTCTGCGCGAGAGTACGAACAAGGAAAACGGACGGAAGAGAGAATTGCAAAGATGCAGAGAAAAAATAAAAGAGAGAAAGAGAAAAAGAAAAAGGGAGAAAGAGAAAGAGAGAGAATAACAAAACGAGGAAGCTAAAGAGAGAGGGATGCCATCAGAATCAATCGTGACGTACCTATATGATGTTCGTCCGAATCCGCGAATTGTTACGTGATTGTCACAATTAATACGTAATTATCGATAATCGTTTTTTATGCGTGTCATTTGTTTAGCTATTTCCTAGTATTATCGTTTATTATCGTGCGTTATCGTTATACAATATATATATACATATATACATATATAGATGTTTAATGGACTTGACGTGCCTTTTTGCAGTCTCTTATGCATTCTTATTATGTAATATATTATTACGCGAGTTGTGAGCATGTAAAAATTTAATAAAATTTGTGATGTTTTCGATGTAACGTTTTAATTGTCGCAATTAACATATTAATACACTTTATATATCCATTCTATTTTCACGCATCATATATATAATAATTAATATCTTAAATTATTATATGTATAACTTGATAAGTGATAATTGAGAAAGAGATGTGTTTAAATAAATAAAAACATGTATTATATAATTATACATAAAATTATATATCATATAATTATATATAATGTATACATATAATTTTATTAAAATGTGATTAATATATACCTACGACAAAAAAAATTGAACTTATTAAAAAAGTTTGAAAACAAAAGATTTTTCTTAAGCAGATTTTAAATATACTTGAATACCTTGAATCATCATTGAAAGTGTAATAAACTCTTATTATCACATACGTTTTCCTTGACTGCAGAATGAATTTCTTTGATATATTGAATAATTTTATCTTTCTTAGTTCATAAATATTATTAAACGGAATTCTACAATTGTATGCGTTTTTTTGTAGTTATAACTTATAATATTCAATCGTAAAATCAATTGTAAATATAATTTATATAGTATAATTAAGGATTTTTTGTTACTAATATTTCACAAAGTGGGTTTAAAAGAATCCTGATAAAAAAATTTTGATTTCTCTTGAAAATTATAAGAAATATATACACGAAAATATATAAGTCTAAATAAGCGTGTAAAAATAGTTTTGGACGTGTAATCAAATTATTACATATTAAGACATGTTGTAAGAACTTTATCTGTGCATATATGTTTGTCTTCAGTCTACTTTCTCTCATTCATGGACAACGAAAGGTCGACTGCTCAATAAAATATTTTAAATATTAATACAATTTATGTGTAAATAAAAGTATATGCTTTCTTTCTTTCTCTTAAATTACATAAACATTTAATATAAGTGACGCATGTATGTTATATTTGTCGAATATGAAAACTTATAATATTACATTACATTAGTAAATAATAATGTTGAAATTATTAAGAAATAGTGTGAAGAAAGAAGAGGATCATCTTTTTTCCTGGACCACGTGACACGTATGTACATAACATGAGCAAACTTAAATGAATGTGTAAATACTTTCGAGTACGTGGTTAAAATCAAACTTACGTCAATATCCATCGGCGTTAGGATTCCGTTTATATCTTCGGCCTATTTCCGGTCGTCCCTGAAACGGAAGGTCGTCTACTTTTTGAAAACCAATGACCGTTCGGAGTTGCCGACATTGTGAAATTGTGGACGACTTTCCTTGAATTTTGACGGTGAAGGGATATAAAAGCATGTGAAACGTAAGACCAGCTTCGAATCGTTTTCCAGACGTTTAACAAGTAACAGTGACACTTCCGTTTCGCGATGAGAAGTTTGCTTTTAATAACGGCACTTAGCGCGATTTTTCTAAGAGAATCATTTGGTAAACCAATGGAAAAGATGGATAATTCTGATGTGTTAGATCCCGTTGCCTTGACTGTAAACGAATCCTCCGAAATTGGTAATAAAAATTTTTAATTTAATAGATTAAGATTTTTTTATAACTAGCACGTCTTTAAAAAGCAATTTTAATTTTAACAAAAATAATGTAAAAATTTGTGCATTTTTCATTTGCATATATGATGTTTATACAACTTCTTTATTTTTTTAGGGGAAGTTGTGCACTTATTTCTAACTAGAATATTATTTAAATATTGATATCTAATTAGCATATTATTTAAATATTTATGTATAAAGGAATATAAATGCTTATATTACTTTAGAAGCCACGAGAGAGCAAAGATCGCCGCAATTCGGTTTGTTAGGTGGTTACAGTGATTATGATTACGATGATGCGTATTTCCGTTACGGAAACAAGCGAAAATATCATCATTATAAACCGTTTCGATCTCATAGGCCACATGGTCTCATCGGAGGATATGGATGTCGTGGAGGATATGGCTGTGGTGGAGGATACGGAGGGTACGTGTAGAATATTATTTTACTTGATTAAAGAACAATCATCGCTATTTTATATGTAAACGTAAAAATTAAATTATTTTATCATTTTATCATACATAATAAATCAAGAAAAATCTGCAGTTCTTCACAAATATTTGTGCAAGATAACGGTTTGCATTTTACCTTCTGATTTACGCAGATGGCAACCGGACTATGGCGGCCATGGACAAGGAGCGTCCTTTGCCTCAGCATCAGCAGGATCTGTAGGTGGAGGTGGTCCTTATGGTGGAGGACACAGCCAAGCGAATGCACAGAGCGCGAGTTTTAACATCGGGCCTTTCTCAGCCTCGTTCAGCGCTGCTCAATCGTTGGGACAAACTGGATTCTGAATTTTTAAACGGTAAGCGTTGGACTGGATCTTATCCTAATACACTGTAGACTCGTATGTTTATTTAATTAAATATTTGTCAAAATTAATTAAAGCTTCATTATGCTAAAATACCTACGTATAAACATTTTACTTTATCATCTATCACTATCTTCGCGCACTCCTATGACAAGAAAAGAATGCGCGGAAATTAAAAAATATAACTAATTATTTATAAATATTGCAAAATATATTAATTTATATAAATTTTATGCATTTATGAAAATATTTTATACAAGATGTTGCTCTTTATTACGAACATTTTGATTGTTTGTGAAGATTTCATGTAAAAAGTTAAATAGTTTATACCTTTTATATTTTTAATTATATAATTTATTATTACAGTATTATACTAGTATTATTCAAAATTCATATATTATAGATAGAATACAAGAAGTACAATATCTTTCGCATTCTAAGAAGGGTTAAAGACCAAGGATGTTGCGCTGCAGCATTATACGCTGTGGCCGCCCACGAAATTGCGCCGGACTCGTCTCGGGTATAGGTCAACGAACTCGAGGGGCCCGGAGGTCGGGTCCGGGAATCCGCGATTCGCATTATATTACCGCGATCTCGTTGTGCCCCCTAACACACCCCGCGCTGCGCTGACCCAACGCGGATGAAACGAGCCTGAAACATCTGTCCGGCGCGGCGGGCCCTATGGCGGACCCCGAAGACACAACAATCTTCGTCGGGGAAATACGGGCGTATTTCACTTTCGCCGGAGTATGTACTCGTATACGCGAGAGAACGGCGATTATAGCCGTGCAAATGTACATGTGTTTATGTATACATTTCTGTATAAATGTGAGTGTGTATGTGTATGTGTGCGTGTTTAAATATATTTGAGTGTGAGTGTGTATGTACATTTGTGGGACCTGCCCGGAAAGGCTTCGCGAATGTGAGTTGGCGCGGCGTTCGCGCATTGTGCCATTGAGGCACACGGCCCTTTCGGGGTACGTGTGAAAAAGAATGAACAAAAAAAAAAGAAAAGGGGAAATGAATCTTCTTGGTTCTCAGGCGATCGGCAGACGGCCAGACAGACGGATTAACTCGTTTTAAAGGGACAGCCAGACGCCATATTGTTGTTTTGGGGCCCGTAGTTTAGGTACGACGCTCCTCTCTCTCTCTCTCTCTCTCTCTCTCCTTCTGGGCGCGACGAACCGGTCTGTTTTCGTCTCCCGAGAGATGCACCTACACGCGAATCGGAGTGTCGATTATGCACACACTTGCGACGCTTGGACATGCAAGTAAATGGCCATTGTTCATCGAAGGGAGTCAGAGAACTTGGGGATCGAGCGAGCGAGTTTAAATCGGATCGTTTCGGATTGCCAACGTAGAAAACAAGCATGACAAGTTGATACCAATTTTTTAACTCTGAACTTAACGATGCGCTTTATAAGTTCGAGCTGTGTATATCGAAATCATTTTGTTTTAAATCTTTGGAGAAATCGATTTTTTTTAGTAATTTTTGAAATTAATCCCGTGTATATAGCTTTGTGCTTAATATTATTCCTGGACTTTTAAAATTGCTCTTGTAAGTGATATCTTCAACATTTTTTGCATAACTCCGCGTAAACGTTTTATTACGCAGCTCTGTAATCGGGAAACAATGATGCCTTAGCTGTTTTCATAATGAAACTTTAAACATATGTAATCCTGTGTTGACGCAACCTTCGCTACACAATCGTTAAACATAGTTAAAAGATTGCCAAAGGCTTACTTCTTCTTATTAAAGATGACTCAGCCGAACATTAAAAAGAAAAACTGCTTCATTTCAAAGTCGAAGTTAGCAAGCAACAGAAATTCTTAATTTTATCCGAAATTCTTTCTTTCTCATTACTATTTTTAAGTAATTATGTTTGCACAACTGGTTTAATAATCATCTTAATGGAAACAAACATAATAGATACATGTACTTTAAATATTAAACGTTTCCTATTCTCCGCAGCTCCAAGGAGTAGCTAGGCGGCCTCGAATCACCCCTAATTTATTTCACCATCATCGTCTCTCCGCCATCATTGTGGGCCCATTGTTTACAAACATTCTACGTCACTCACTAGAAGCAAGTAAATAAGCCTAACCGCGTGCGTGAGCCACCCTCTTGCCTCTTGCGAGAGGATTTCCTGAGCGAGCAAGTTTTCTTTGTCCGCATGCCAGCCACCAGATGTTCTCCAAAATAAAACCGACAAAATATCGCGACATAGCGCCGCGATTCGTACATGAACAAGCGAGACGGAGGACAAATCTGACGCGAGAAGAGCAAGGATGGAGGAACCACGAAGAATGACGAAGTGGGGGGGAGACGCCGCGAGACGGAGGGTCGCTGGATAAACGGCACAAAGGGATAGGAAGCCGAAGGGAGGAGGGCCCTGTTAAGAGCGAGGGCCCCTGAAATCGAGATCCGAAAAGCCCCGTGCAATGACCGGACGAACCGCACACGCGATCTTCGCCAGCGCAGCATCCTCCGTTTCGAGATACTCTCCTCTCTTTGGAGAGGCCAAGAGGAGTTTCGAGGATGGATGCACAAGACGCGCTCGTCGAAGAAAGTTATGAATCTTCAACGAGAAACAGTTTATTTATGTGTTACTGTAGTAAAAAATACCAATGGACCAATTTCATTATTCCAGTGATCTCTACTAGTAATAAATGTTTAGTATAATTATCATAATATTTTCAAAAGATGAACAAATAAAAATAAAAAGACTTATAGAAAAGATAAGATGGAAACTATCTGATATTAACTCGACATACACATCTAGAGAGAAGCTTCCTTTAAATCCTAATCCCTTTAAATTTTTTTTCTTGGAACCATTTATATAAGACGATGGTTTTATGAAATAATAATGCAGTTTTAATTGTAACGGAAATTTGTATACTTGCGTTGATTAATCTTTGTTTATTTCTTTTTTCATAATCACGACGAAAATATTCGCGTATTATGGTCAAAAACAGAAAGCGAAGAACATTCGAGAAATTACGTTCGCTCGTTAAAGATCTGCTGTGATATTAACTGCAGCTATTGGATGAGATAACCTGTTATTTTAGAAACTACAGAAGATCATTAAATGTGTTATCTTTTGCGCTCAAAAATCACCTTGGCTTCAAAAAATTGCAGTCCGGCTTCAACTCTTCGCTAAAGTACAATGAATACGAATTCAAGTAACTTCATTTCATCATCATCTCATTAACATGAAATCCTACTTAAATCAAGAAACTTTTATTCTCTTGATTTATGTAGGATGAAAATTCTTTTCTGGAGGGATCATTGCCGGTTAAAATTGGCATTTCTAGATCGTAGTAGTGTCCAGCCTGAAGAAGTGACATTAACGATACCCGAGATGCATCAAAGAGACTCGTTAAAGGACTGTGCTGTCGTTAACCATTGTTTAGCCGCTCCTGGGCACCTACGGCCCTGCCAGCCGGTAAACCAGTCTCTCCGTCTGAGTAAAAAGAGAGAGAGACAGAGTACGGGAGTCGTCCAGATAAACAGAAGGAGAGATCAAATGAGAGAGACAGAGGGGGAGAGGATTGAGAGGAAAAAAATGAAATAGAAAGTGGTCCGGCCGGTGCAACAGACTACAGTATATGACGCCTTTAAAGCACCTCCTCCTGGTGGTACCCATGAGTCTGTTCCTGTTTTCCACACACTATAGCAAATCCGCGATGCTTTCTTGAAGGCTCCCGCGTCATTATGCTCGCATTTCTCGTGCGGTTGTCGACTCGGAAAGTATATCCTCAACTTATAGCCGGTAAGTCGAGATACATACTGTTAAGTATTAAGTGTTAAGTCTGAGATCCATGATACAAGTAAGTGAAACTGCGTCAATTTATAAGGAGACTTGTTCTGTCATTTCGCAAGGTCGAAGGCGAGGATGACGCGCGGAGCAGTGATAAGAGTTAATCGTAGTGTTGAACTCGGTATAATTTATTTTTTTCAAACGATACATACGTCTTCTTTTTCCAATCCATATGGCGCACAAATGTGTTCATTAAATTGAAAACGATATGAGAGGGATTAATAATTACAATAAAAAGAAATTGGCTTTCACTTTATAAGAGGAAACTTTAATTGAAGGGAAAATTAATTGACTGTTTTAAAATGCATGCAAATTAAGGCTATTATATTGATCTGTGTGTTTGTGCGATTATTTTATTTTAAAAAATAATTAAATTGTTTACTTTAAATTAAAGAAATCTTTTTAAAATCCTTTTTATACAATATTTCTCTAACTGTTCGGATTTTTTATATCACATTAATATTCTTTGAAGATTATTAACTTTTATAATCTATAAGATATTTATACTGTAGAGTGACCAATTGCGATAACGTTAATGAGTTGCACAATCCATTGCTTTTACGTAAGATTCTGCCAATATTGACTGCTCTAGAAAGTGATTCAAGTAGTAATTCTTTAAACTCGTGTTCCTACGAATGGTGATTACGAAATCGTCGAAGGCCTTTTAACAAATTCATCTGAAGTTAACGGCTGTTTAGAATTCCCGAGCACTCAGGCGTGACACAAGAGTAATAGTAATCAGTTAGTATAATTTTCGTATAGTCGAAAGATCGCTAATTTTCGCTATTGATGTGTCTGGTAGATTTTTTTAAATGTGTAAACGGTCTATACATGTGTGTCTGTGTGTGTGGAAGAATAAAAATCAATTATTTAAGGATTTGTCGATTTATATAATTTATTTTTTGTTTCGTGTGTATGTCAACGAAAAGGTAGTTACGATCAAATAATTAAATATTAATCAGATGAATATAATAGATATTAATAACAGTTTGATTATTATAAACGTTAGTAATAATCTAATTACACATTATGAACTGTATGTATGCAGGAGTCGACAATGTATATATTAGAATAGATTGCATCAAAATATTTTATTGAAAGCTTTGTCGAATTTATTTCTCACCGATCATTTTCGTTCACTTATTTTACAGGGTAACAAAAATTTCGATCTTTGGACATATTAAAATTCCCGTTACAAAATGATTAAAATTTTGGCCCTTTTACTACTCACTTCAGTCTGTGTCATAATCAATGCTCAAGAGACGGCATCTAACGAAAAATGTAAGTAAAATAGTAAAAAATATTTGTTAAAGAAAATCTTTGAAGACTTTTATTATATGTTTTTGCGAAAATATACATATAAATTGTATATAAAGCTAAAATAAAATAATTTTATTTAATTGTATTTAATAGTATTTAATTGTATTTAATAGTATTTAATAGTATATTTTAAATTTTCTTTGTCTTTAAAAATTTAATTAATAAAAAATTCATTTCCGCATTTCTTTGTCTAAAGGAACATTTATCTAAGAATTAAAAAAAAATTGGATGTATTTTTTGAATTTTATTTTTTTTTCTTCAGTAACTTATTAAACAATTTATCATATTTTCTCTTTAATTGCGCAGCACTTTTTGGCCAAACGTTTGATGAAATTATCGTATCGTCGGACTTAAACGTTAGAAGAAAATCAAAAGAAAATCGTCAGGGTAAAAGATTATTATCAAATGTGCCGTCAGCAACTACTGGTCCACCGGAAAGACCGACTGCAATTGCGTCCAGACTCGTTTTCGCCGATGGAAGCCGTATAACGCCAGAAAAAAGGGAGAAACGTGGCATAACAACGCGAAGGAGGTAAATTGATAAACAACTGTCTTTCTTGTTAATTGAGTTATCGACAAGTTTGAATCAATTAATGTCTGTTATAAAAATGCCGAAGTATTAATGCCAACTAAATAACAATGTAAATTATTTTGAGTACTTATTTATATATGCATATATGTACATGTACAATTAATTTTAAAAAAAGCTAAGTAATCTTAGATAATATCAGTTGATAATACTTTGTTTTACTAAATCTTCACACACACTTAATTATTGTTTACTGAATTGCGAAGTAAAACCGAATGATTATTTCTCTGAATGATTTTCATCCGATAATGTAATCGGAAAAAATATTAATTGCTCTAAACCAATTCTCAAGATAGAATTTTAATTGTATCACAAAAATGGAAAAACATATTTCATGCATCTAATTTTAAAAATAATTAGTTGAAAAGAGGACAGTTTATATATGTCTGAATCGAAGATTTTTGTTTTTATAATTGCGTATACTTAACATTAATTGTACGTGAAAGGACTTACATGATCTTTACAATTTCAGGTATCTGGATCTGGGCGTCGCGGGATACTTGCTGAAATCTCGGAAACGGTGAAAATTTTATACCCCGAGGACAACCGCACGACCCTCCACACCCTCATCTGTGATCACACTTCTTTGGATGAACTTTTAGGCCACGGTTCATGTACAAAAAGGATAATAAAATTTTTCTGTGTCATAACACTTCCAGCTTTATCACTGCGCATTCGCAAATTATTCTTCTTTCTTGATTTTTCACAAATCCATATTTTACATAATAAGATCTTCCTAAATTTGAATAATATTTGATATTTATCTTAGAGTGAAAATCTAGACATAATATTCAAAATCAAGCAGCTCTTTTAATTTAACAAAGTTAATATTCATTAATATGTCATTATTATCAAAATTTTGAATTATAAAAAATTAATCGTTCTCTAAATTTTAACACATATCTTTGCATTTTATTATCGTTAACACAGGACAGTTTTTTTTAGACTCAAGGAAAATGCTATAATAGATTTTCTTGAGACGCTGAGACAAACACAATTTGAATACGATTCTTTTACGAATACATCCTTATTGACGACGGTACGTCACGGTCTGACAATACGACCGCCGCAATGGCAGGCCAATTGTCAGGCATTCCGCGTTCGTACGCAAGCCGAAAAAAAGATCGGTTGGCTGAAATATAGCAGCCCGCCCTCAAAAGACAGCCGCTAGCACGATCGCTATGCATCGTGTCGATGCACTTCGCCACGCGATGCACCTACGGCACGTGACACGCACGTCCAAAACACATCATTTATGTACTAGCTTTTCCTCTCCAAGCTTATTTGCTCGCGTAATATTCTTTTCGTTTTTTTAATTAACTTAGATTGAAAAATTAATGATGTGTCACAATAAAGTCACTAATCATTAGTTTCAACATAAAGATAAAAATGTGAAGATCGTAACGAGAGAGAAGAGAAGAGAGAGAGAGAGAAGAGAGAGAGAGAGAAGAGAAGAAAGAAGAAGAGAGAGAAGAGAGAAGAGAAGAAGAGAGAAGAAGAGAGAAGAGAAGAGAAGAGAAGAAGAAGAGAAGACTTATCATTTATTATATTATAGAACCTTGGTTCTGTAACTTCTTCATTTGATGATTATCCTTATTCTTTGTATCCCTGCTCTTGCGATGATGAAATATACATTTCCTTGTCTTCGTAAACGGTTGTCATATTAAATTTCTGATTTTATAGACCTTTAGAGTTTCTTAAAATTTCATATAGTTTTTTAATTTAATATCTTCTTCACATACGTTTCATGATTACTCTTTTCACAAATTCGTCAGAAGACACACGAATTGTAATGTCTTCATTTTATTAGCCACAATCTTCACATTATCTGTAATAAGTATGGACAGTAATAATACAAAATGAGTTGTCGAATGCATATCCCTGTTATGAAAGAATAAAATTATATTACGCATTTGTTATTTT